CGTTTGTTTGTTTGGTTTTTTGAGACAGGGTCTCGCTATGTAGTTGAGACTGACCTGGAACTCACTACATAGCCCAGGCTGGTCTCGAACTCACAGCGATCCTCCTGCCTCAGCCTCCCGAGTGCTGGGATGACAGGCTTGCGCCACCACACCCTGCCTTCTTTCTTTCTTATACTTGGGAATGAGCCCAGATTCTTGCAACTTCCACTCAAGCACTCTACCACTGAACTACACTCCTGGCCCTCTTTTAAATTTTATTTGGAGGCAGAGTGTCACTAAGTTGATCAGGCAGTCCTCAAAGTGGTGATCTTCCTGCCTCAGCCTCCCAAGTATGCACGGGCTTTCTACTCTGACTCCCTGTCCTCGATGGCCCACCCATGGTCTACAAAGTTGCCATACTTTCTCAAAGTTCAGGCAGCCAGTACACACCACCTTTCCCTGGATGTTTGCTAGAAATAGTTTCATCCGTCAAATCAGAAATGGAGTGGGTTAGATGTGATTCCTTTACTGCGTCCCTTGTAAGTGTTGCATGTCTATCATGAAGTCACGGAAAACCAGACTCAAATCAAACCTTGACACCCCAGGAGACTTGCAGCCCAGCCCCTGAAAGCCCTCAGGTGGTTTCCTTGCCTATAGAATGGGTACGTTAATAATCTTAATCCTGAGTGCAAAATGGTATAGCCACTTAGGTAACTGGCTTGGATGTTTTTAAAATTATTTATTCATTTTTTGAGACAAGACTCACTGTGTAGTTCAGGTTCGCCTTGAACTCACTCTGCAGTCCAACTGGTCAGGAATTCTTGGTGATCTTCCTGTCTCAGCCTCCCGAGTGATGGGATTATAGGCAGGCAACGTAACACCTGGCTACTGGCTTGGCAGATTTGTACAAAGGCAAACATAAACTTATTACAAAAACCCAGTATTTTTTTTTTTTTTAAATAGAGTTGCACTAAGCTACCGGTTGGGCTCAAACTCAAGATCCTCCTGCCTTAGCCTCCCAAGAGCTGGCATCCCAGGTGTACGCCTCTGGGGCCCACCTTAATTAAGCCAACTGTGGTTAATTATTGGTCATTTGGGGGCGGGAGGTTCCGCATGTGAAACTCCTCTGGCTTAATGGCCAGCACTGTTTGTAACCCCTGTGCCGAGAGCGGGGAGATTTTCTTTCTGCGCAGATCTGAAGAGGATGGACACAGACGAACACTGTCTTCACTTCCTTCTGTAGAAGGTGGGTGATTCTCAGAGCTCCTGTCATACTGAAGTTTTTCTTTGCATTTCCCGGGGAATAATGAACTTGACCAGGTTCCGGACACGCGCCCTGTCCACAGGGACGGCCCCCTTTGTGAAGAGCCCGTTCCAAGCTTTGGGACGCATCGTTGGAAGGGCATCGTCCGTCTCCTCATCATTTGAGGCGTTTTCCCTGCGTGTCATGGGGAGGCCTGGCCCCGGGGCTGCCGTGGGCTGGGAT